ACTTTGCATCAGTCTTCATGGTGGAAGACACCAGAACAGACCAGAACATCAAGAGAGTCAGGGGGCAGAGAGCCATCACAAAGGACAAAGTACTGGGGAAGCTGAAAGGTCTGAAGTTGGATAAACCAAGCAGGCCAGATAGACTACACCCCAGAGTTCTGAAGCAGAAAGCTGAGGAGCTTGAGGAGGCATTGGTGGTGATCTTTCAGGAATCTCTGGAGTCTAGGAGGGTCCTAGAGGACTGGGAAATGGCTAATGTAACCTCCCCCCCACCACCGTCTAAAGAAGGGAGGGAGGCAGAAGATAGGAGATTATAATCTGGTTTGCCCAGCCTTGGTCAGTGTTAAGATTTTAAAGTCCATTATTAAGGATGAGATTGCAGAGTACTTGGAAGTGCATGGTAAAATAGGGCAGAATCAGCGCAACTTCATCAAGGGGAGGTCATGCCTGACAAATCTGTTAGAATTCCTTGAGGAGATAACACGCAAATAGGACAAAGGAGAGCCAGTAGACATGATCTCTTTGGATTTCTGGAAGATCTTTGACAAAATGCCGCACAGGAGGCTGCTAAATAAGCTAAGAGCCTGTGGTGTTAGGGGCAAGGTACTGGCATGGATAATGGATTGGCCAACTGACAGAGGGCAGAGAGTGGGGATAAAGGATTCTTTTTTCAGGGTGGCAGCTGGTGACTGGTGGAGTTGTAGGGGTCAGTGTTGGGACCACAACTATTCATGTTATATATTAACAACCTAGACATAGCAACTGAGGACATTTTTGCTAAGTTTGCAGATGACACAAAGATAGGTGGAGGGGCAGGTAGTGTTGAGGAAGTGAGGAAGCTGCGGAAGGCCTTGGGCAGACTAGGAAGTGGGCAAAGAAGTGGCAGATAGAATACAATGTGGGAAAATGTGAGGTTATGCACGTTGTAGGAAGAATAGAGGCATAGAATATTTTCTATCCAGGGAAAGGGTTTAGAAATCTGATGCACAAAGGTTCTTGGGAGACCTTGTTCAGGATTCTTTTAAGGTTAACATGCAGGTTCACTTGGCAGTTAGGAAGGCAAATGCAACATTAGCATTTAATTTGAGAGGTCGAGAATACAAGAGCAGGGATGTACTGCTGAGGCTGTATAAGGCTCTAGTCAGACCACATTTGGAATATTGTGAGCAGTTTTGAGCCCCGTATCTAAGGAAAGATATGCTGGCATTAGAGGGAATTCAGAGGAGGTTTACAAGAACGATCTTGGGATTGAAAGGCTTGTTATTTGAGGAGCAGTTGAGGGCTCTGGGTCTGTACTCGATAGAGTTTGGAAGGGTGAGGGGGATCTGATTGGAACTTACAGAACACTGAGAGACCTGGCTAGAGTGGGCATGGAGAAGATGTTTCCACTAGTAGGAGAGACTAAGACCTGAGGACACAGCCTCAGAGTGAAGGGACAACCCCTTAGAACTGAAATGAGAAGGAATTTTTTTAAGTCAGAGGGTGGTTAATCTGTGGAACTCATTGCCACAGAGAGCCGTGGAGACCAAGTCGTTGAGTGTAGTTAAGACAGAGATAGATCAGTTTTTGATTGGTTAGAGTATCCAGGGTTACAGGAAGAAATCAGGAGAACAAGGTTGCGATGCAAATCAGCCATGATTGAATGAGTAAGCAGATATGATGGGCCAAATGGCCTAATTCTGCTCCTATACCTTATGGTCTTAACACATTGATGTGAAAGCCAAGGTCCAGTGGCATTACTCAGAATACGTTCTCCACATGGACTGCAGTTCTAGAATTTAGCGTACGCCACAAGCGTCTCACTGGGAGAAGTCAATAAATGGTGACCTTTGCAATGACCTCTCACACATGCCCAGAATGATGAAACATACACAGTTTTGACCAATCTCTTGTGAGAGATATCCATTGGCAATATGAGCCTGTAAGACAATCAGACCATAAGTTATAGGAGCAGAATGGGGCCATTCAGCCCATTGTGTCTGCCTGCCATTCAATCAGATCATGATCTGATCATCATCAACTCCACTTTCCTGCCTTTTCCCCATAACCCTTGATTCCTTTGCTGATTAAAAATCTATCATGTCAACCAGCATTTTATTTCTAATTTGTCAGTTAAATGTTGCACTTTCACTGAACAGTACATGTGAAACCTCCTTCCAATGGATTACTGCACAAATACAGAACATATTAAATAAATCACTGTACATCAGAGGGGGTACATACTATCTAATTACTGCTATTGGATAGTCATAAACTTGTAAAGGAGGATAACAAGATGTTGTTTGAAGACACGTTGAAAACCAAACATTGAAACACTCACCAGAAAAATTGATTTTCTTTAGTGATTTGTGATCCTCTGGTTGGGTGTCAGGGCTGGAGATATGGTCCAGATTTAGTCCATTCTGTGCCCACAGTGATTATCAATACACTCATCAGCAATCTTCCACCTCTTTGACCTTGGTGTACAGTGACCTTCAGATGGTGGAGCTAATGGGGTGAAATGTTTCTACCTCTGACCATGAGAAATGGCTGTCACTAGAAAAGCAAGATTTTTTTGCTCTCTGAGCTGTTGAGAGTCAACCACATTGCTGTGGGTCTGGAGTCACACATAGGCTAGACCAGGTAAGGACAGCAGATTAATGACCCATGACCAACCTCTCTCTCAACCCCGCCTCCTTGACCTGACACAACCTGTCCATCTTCTCTCCCACCCATCTGCTCCTCCCACCTCAGTGACCAATACCCACCACTGCCTCCCTGTACTCACCTATCACCATCCTACCTACCTTCCCCAGCCCCACCCCTCCTCTCTATTTATTTCCCAGCTCCCTCCCCCCTCCCCCATTTCTCAAGAAGGTCCCAACCCAAATGGTCAGCTTTCCTGCCCCTCTGATGCTGCCTGGCTTGCTGTGTTCCTCCAGCTCCACACTGTGTTATTTCTGACTCCAGCATCTGCAGTTCTTACTATCTCTGAGGATGGCACATTTCCTTCCCTGAAGGACATTAGTCAATCAAGTGTGGTTGACTCATAACTGCTCTCTGGGCAATTAGGGACTTTACTTAGAATCCCTACAGCATGGAAACAGGCTCTTTGGCCCAACAAGTCCACACTGACCCTTGGAGCATCCCACCCAAACCCATCTAATCTACACATCTCTGAATACTACGGGCAATTTAGCATGGCCGATCCACTTAACCTGCACATCTTTGGACTGTGGGAGGAAACCAGAGCACCCGGAGGAAACCCACGCAGACACAGGGAGAATGTGCAAAACCCCACACAGACAGTCACCTGAGGGTGGAATCGAACCCGGGTCCCTGGTGCTGTGAGGCAACAGTACTAACCACTGAGCCACCGTGCCACTCTGCCACCCCTGGCAGTAAATGCTGGCCTGGCCAGCAACACCCACATTTTGAGAATGAATGAAAATAAAGAACAGTAGTTTTGGATCACTGGTCCAGTGACATTACAACTCCACCAGATCCTCACCAACAGTCTTCAGCTAATTACTCAGTCCTGTTATTTCCCATCCATCGCCACGGTGATTGTTAAAGGAGGAAGAAGGAGTGAGATTATGGGAAAGCTTCACATGCAGTTTCAAACTATGAGCGATGCTTAGGCAGTTAGTAAAGTGTGTCCCAGCCTTTTGTCATCATGACATGTAATTAATGAGTTGTGAAATAATGGCAACATTACACAATAGACAGTGTAATGTGATTGCATCATTCATGTGTGTGATCTCACTACATGTCATCTTCAAGTGGGTATATTTCCCAGTCAACGTCTGTCTCTAGCCGTAAAGTATTTCGTGATTTTTTTTGAAAGCATGTTCTTTCTAGTCTCTTCTTATGTCTGTGGTGGTCAGGGATGTCAGTATTCAGGAATGAACCACTTCTCACCTCTGAGTTCTCCAGGTCAGGTATAGAACAGCTACTTATGGAGTACAGCTCGTTCTGTTCTGCCTCAGACTCAGAAGTGGATATATAAGCTGTTGTGTCAGCAGCAGTTTCCAGTAACCTATTCCAGCCACTCTTGTGATTGTTTGGATTAATTGAGCCAATTCATTGACAGGAATGACCGCCCTGCCCTTTTCGGTGTGAGACAGCCATTCGATAAGCATGTTTTCCAACGAGAGTGATTAAGCAGCAAATTCGAATCAACTCATTTTCCCTCAACCCCTTTTTTCCAATTCATGAGAAATTAATCCCAATAATAGCGTTGTGCTGGAAATCCAGGGATTGAACCCTGGACCTTTCTGTATTACATGATGTTTTTCCACCATGCTCCAATTTAGAAGAAGAATGTTGGTGGGTAATTTTGACAAGGCTGGGATTTCTTACACATCCCCGGCTCCCTTTACTTGTGACTCTACAGGCATTAATGGTGGAGAAGGGTTAAAGCCGGCATGTTCCCGTTATGTTGGGCCTAATGGTGACTGGTGGATATAAGTAAAATTCCACCCCTGGAAATTTTATATAATCAGGATCAACTTGGATGAAACCCAAAATGCGGGATGGTTACTCCTGATGTCTGGGGAGTCCAGAACCAGGGGCCACCATCTTAGGATACAGAGTAAACCATTGAGGACTGAGATAAGGAGAAATGTCTTCACCCAGACAGTGGGGAGCCTGTGGAATTCTCTGCCACAGAAAGTGGTTGAGGCCAAAACATTGAATATTTCCAAGAAGCAGTTAGATATAGTTCTTGGGGCTAAAGGGATCATAGGGTGTGTGGAGCAAATGGGAACGGGAATGAGTTGGATGATCAGCCATGATCATGTAGAATGGTGGAGCAGGCTCAAAGGCCGAATGGCCTCCTCCTGCCCCTGTGTTCGATGTTTCTGTGTTTTGGATTGGATTGAAGTAGTAAAACATTAGTGCAACAACGCATCACGCAACACAATCTCTCAATACTTTTCCTATGAATGTGAACGTTGAAATGGAAGAAATGTCTTTTTTTTTCAGCATTGTGTTTCAGTAATTATTTTTGTCTTTGCCAGGGAGCCCAAATACTGTGGACCTTGTGACAGTTCATCACCATGGCAATGATTCAGACAATGCCCATAGCTTCTGAGCGTCAGAATTCAGAAAGTGAACACAAACTGCGAACATCTGCAGCATCGCCAATCTTGCAGAGCACCATGGGAAGCGTTGGCAGTCTTGTATCAGGTCGCAACTACCATGATAAACACTGCAAGGCCATGGAGTACAACAACAAATGTCGCAAGACCGGCCAAGTGCTGAACATTTTTAGGCAACAGGATGGACACCCCAAAAATGGCTACTCTCAGGACTGTATTGGTGGAGTAGTTTCCAAGAAGCAATGTTCAGCAATTGGAAAAAGTGGGAATTATGCATATTTAAGTGAAGACCATCGCAATGGAAGTTGGAGTATGACGGAATCACCCAGCAGCCCTTGCAGTGATCCTGAAGATTTCCGTGAAGCCAGGTCAATGAATGGAAATATCCGAGGGCCCCCTCCAAAAATAATTCCGGTCTCAGGCAAACTCGAGAAGGTAAGTCACAAATGACACCTTTTCATAGGCGATGTGGTGGGGTACCAATATAACAAGGAGCGGTGTAGTAATATCACAACCACATGCCCTCCTGTTGTGGGTTAGTAGGCATGCTACCATGGAAACATAGAAAACAGGAGCAGGAGTATGCCATTTGGCCCTTCGAGCCGGCTCTGCCATTCGATATGATCATGGCTGATCACCCAACTCAGTCCCCTGTTCCAGTTGCAGAACCTAATTGCCTTGAATTTGCATCCCAGGTTAATCGCACTGCACAAATAGTTAACCCACAATGTGTTAAAACCCATTTGTTCTCAGTGGGTTAAACGTGTGCATTTAACAAAATGCACAAGGCAATTTTAAAAGCGCCTCTGAATGGTTTGTTCATTGATATCCGCCCCCACGGTTGGAGCAGTGTGCATGGATCCAGTGCCCCATTTTATAAACAGGATGTAAAGGCATGGAGAAGGTGCAGAAAAGATTCACAAGAACATGATCAGAACTGAGAACTCTTCAGGAAAGGCTGAACAGGTGAGGGTTCTTTTCTCTCGAATAGAGAGGGCTAAGGGGGCAACCTGACAGATTTTTAAGGCATTGAGAGAGTTTTTTTTATCAGGGTAGGGTAGAGGTTTCTTGCTGTGAGGAGGATAAAACTAAAGGTCACCAAAATATGATAATCATTTATATCCCATACCAAATTCAGGAGACATTTCTTCCTTCAGATTTTTATTTTTGGATGCACAATGTACTACTTCAAGGTGGCTCAGTGGTTAGCACTGTTGCCTCACAGCGCCAGGAATCCGGCTTCGATCCCACCCTCGGGTGACTGTGTGGAGTTTGCACATTCTCCTTGTGTCTGTGTGGGTTTCCTCCGGGTGCTCCGGTTTCCTCCCACAGTCCAAAGATGTGCAGGTTAGGGTGGATTGGCCATGGTCAATTGCCCAGGGATGTGTAATCTAGGTGGATTAGCCGTGGGGAAATACAGCGTTAGGGTAGTGGGGGGGGTGAATTTGGGTGGGATGCCCTTTGGAGGGTCAGTGTGGATTCGATTGGCTGAATGGCCTGCTTCCACACTGTAGGGGTTCTGTGATTCAATGGAGCTGAGCTGAGGGGCATTGAGGCAAAGAAGGGTAGGCTAGAGAATGAAATCTGCTGATGGGGTGGAGTGAAGAAAGAGGGATCTCTGACTTAGATGGAGCATTAGCAGCAGAATCCAGTTGGGTCAAACCATTTGCACACTCAAGCCTCCAAATTAACAATGGCACCTCCTTGATGCACATCCTTAGAGCGGTAGAAACAATTTTTTAAAAAATGAGTCATTTAGATTATGCTCTCTGTAACTAGTTCAGAGTAGGATTGGCTGAATGGACGTAGCCTCCTCCATTTCTGGTGTTCTGCTGACAGGGTAAATAGGATCGGAGGAAGGTGCTGGGTTTTACACAGGGTGTGCTTTCAATGCGCAGCAGTTATTCAGAAGGAGTTCAAAGTCCTGGTACTCAAAGCCACTGCACATTTTTCTATGCTGGGGTGGAATACAAAGGGGAGGAAATGATTTTCTTTTTATTTGTTTGTTAGTGGCTGGCGGGGACAAGCATTTAGAGTCATAGAGGTCTATAGCATGGAAACAGGCCCTTCGGCCCAACTTGCCCATGCTACCCGGTTTTCATAATTAAACTAGTCCCATTTTCCAGCGTTTGGTCCATATACCCCCAAACCTATCCCATCCATGTACCTGTCTAAATGTTTCTTAAATGATGAAATTGTACTTACCTCGACCAATATCTCTGGCAGCCTGTTCCAGACACTCACTATGCTCTGTGTGAAATAATTGCCCTTCTGGACCCTTTTGTATCTTTCCCCTCTCACATTAAACCTATGCTGTCTAGTTTCAGACTCCCCTGCCTTGGGGAAAAGCTTTTGGCTATCCACCTTATCTATATATCTCATGATTTTATAGACTTCCATAAAGTCACCCCTACAGTCCCAGGAAATGGGTCCCAGACTATTCAGCCTCTCCCTGTAACTCAAACTTTCCAGTCCAGGTAGCATCCTAGTTGATTTTTCCGCTTTCTAGTTTATTGCCCACTTTGAACTGGCTTGTGGTAAGACAGCTCCTGCATCTTCCTGCCTTTGGCACTTTGATATAATTGTGTGGCTTGCTCGGCTATTGTAGGGGGTAGTCAGGCCCATTGCTGTGGGTATGGAGTCATGGTGTAGGTCAGACCGGGTAAGGATGGTAGATTACCGTCCTCGAGTTAGTGAATGGGTTTTCACATCAGTCTGCTAGATTCATCATTTACTGAGACAATGCGCCTTTTAATTCCAGGCAAATTAATGAAGTAAATTTGCTATCCTCACTCCCCACCTCACCTCCTCACCCCACCCCCCCCACCATTGCCCAGGTTGAATCTGTACCTCAGACTATTAAACATAGAAGATAGGAGCAGGAGGAGGCCATTCGGCCCTTCGAGCCTGCTCCACCATTCATCACGATCACGGCTGATTGTCCAACTCAACAGCCTAATCCTGCTTTCTCCCCATAACCTTTGATCCCATTTACCCCAAGTGCTATATCTAGGCACCTCTTGAATACATTCAATGTTTTGGCATCAACTGCTTCCTGTGGTAATGAATTCCACAGGTTCACCACTCCTTGGGTGAAGAAATGTCTCCTCATCTCTGTCCTAAATCATCTACCCCGAATCCTCATACTGTGAAACCCGGTTTTGGACACACCCACCATCAGGAACATCCTCCCTGCATCTACCCAGTCTAGTCCTGTTAGAATTTTATAAGTCTCTATGCGATTTCCCCCCTCATTTGTCTGAGCTCCAACGAAAACAATCCCAACGCAGTCAATCTCTCCTCATACGTCAGACCCGCCATCCCCAGGAATCAGCCTGGTAAACCTTTGCTCCACTCCCTCGAGAACAAGAGCATCCTTCCTCAGAAAAGGAGACCAAAACTGCACACAATATTCCAGGTGTGGTCTCACCAAGGCCCTGTATATTTGCAACAACGCACCCCTGCTCCTGTACTCGAAATCTCTCGCAATGATGGTCAACATACCATTTGCTTTCTTTAGCACCTGCTGCACCTGCATGCTTACCTTCAGTGACCAGTGCACAAGGACACCCAGGTCCCACTGCACACTCCCCTCTCCCAATTTACAGCCACTCAGGTAGTAATCTGCCTTCTTGTTTTTGCTTCCAAAGTGAATAACCTCACATTTATCCAAATGATACTGCATGTGCCATTGATTTACCCACTCACCCAGCCTGTTGAGATCATTCTGAAGGATCTCTGCATCTTCATCACAGATCACCCTCCCACCCAATGCCGTATCATCTGCAAACTTGGAGATGTTACATTTTGTTCCCTCATCCAAATCATTGACATATATTGTGAATAGCTGGGGTCCCTGTGGCACCCCATTAGTTACCGCCTGCCAATTTGAAAAGGACCCATTAATTCCCACTCTTTGTTTCCTCTCTGTCAGCCAGTTTTCTATCCATCTCAGTACACTTCCCCCAATCCCATGCACTTTAATCTTGCACAATAATCTCTTATGCAGCACTTCATCAAACGCTTTCTGAAAGTCCAAATATACGACATTGACTGGCTCCCCCTTGTCAGCTCTACCGGTTAAATCTTCGTAGAATTCCAACAGATTTGTCAAGCATGATTTCCCCTTCATAAATCCATACTGACTCTGTCTGATCCTCCCACTGCTTTCTAAATGCACCACTATAAAGTCCTTAATAATGGATTCGAGAATATTCCCCACTACTGATGTTAGGTCTATAACTCCCTGTTTTATCTCTACCTCCCTTTTTGAATATTGGAGTGACATTAGCCACCCTCCAATCTGCAGGGACTGTTCCAGAGTCTATAGCATCCTGGAAGATGACCACCAATACATCCACTATTTCTAGAACCACTTCCTCAAGTACTCTGGGATGTAGATTATCAGACCCTGGGGATTTATCTGCCTTCAATCCCATCAATTTTCCCAGCACCATTTCTCTACTAATATTGATCTCCTTCAATTCTTCCCTCTCACTAAATCTTGCATTCTCCAACATTTCTGGTATCTGGTTTGTGCCCTCTTCTGTGAACACAGAACCAAAGCATGTATTCAGTTGCTCCAGCCATTTCTTAATCCCCTATGATATATTCCCCCTTTTCTGTACGAAAGGGAGAGTTGGTGGGAGATTGTCACACAATTGGTAATCCTGAACACCAGCTTAATGCACTGGGATCATGGGTTCAAAGCCAACATTGGCTGAAGGTGAAATTTAAATTCAGTAAAAGTCTGGAATCGAGAGTCAGCCTAACTGTGACCTTGTACCCATTATCATAAAACAATCAGATAAGAAAATCTGCCATCCTTACCTGGGTTCCTTTAAACAAGGCATTTCTAAACTTACAAATATTGCTTAAAATAAAAAAATTCTTCACCTAGAGCGTGATGAGCCTGTGGAATTCTCTGCCACAGAAAGTGGTTGAAGCCAAAACATTGAATGTTTTCAGGAAGGCGTTAGATATGGTTTTTAGGGCTGAAGGGATCAAAACATATAGGGAAGAAAGAGGGAACAGGGGACTGAGTTGGATGATATGATCATATTGAATGGAGGAGCAGACTCGAGGGGCTGAATGGCTCCTGCTCCTATTTTCTGTGGTTCTGAGTTGTGAGAAGTGAAAAGTACACGATGAAATGAGATGATTGAGGGTCACAGCCTTCATTCAGATGTGTAAAAGGTGAATGGAATCATTCAAACTTTGAGACCCCTCAGCGCTTCTCCATGTTGTTTTGTTACCACACCCAGGATCTGGAAGGATCAGCCTTGGAAGCACTCCTGTTTATCTGTGCACCCTTTAAAATGAGTGCTACAACTGTAGCATAGTAGCTCCTACAAGTTGTAGATGCTGAAGGACTTCATGGGACTTTGCAGCACCAGTAGGCCATTTGGTCCTTCAAACCCGCTCCACCATTCAAC